TTTACAATCCTCCACCACCATTTCTTTTTGTAATAACATCTCATTCAATCTCCACCTAAAAAATCCATTTTTCATTTTAAAAGTTGAGTCACAGGATTATGATCTGAACATTTCTTTGATAATATCTCCACTTTATAAACCCTGTTAGCCAAAATCTTAGAAATCCAAATCATGTCTCTTCTTGAAAAAGATCTTTGTCATTCAGAAAAATAAGTATATTCTTTTGAACCACCATTTTTATGTCTCCATGCATCAACAAGCTCCAAATTATCCATTAAATTTTAAAAATCTTTAATTTACCCTTTGTTTTTTAAATATTTTTCTCAGAAGTTCTATCTTTCCACTCCATTCCAGTCCCCCAGGAAACACCAATTTTCATATGTAAAATCCAATAGTTTATTCATAAATCCTTTATAAAATGCTGCTTTATCTTAGTTTGGGGCATAAATTCCCAATATCAAAGTCTTAGCCCCTGTAGATTAACTTCCACCCCAACATATCTACCACAATCATCAGTCAGTATACATTTTGGATGTAGTTGGGGGTTTATATACAAAACAGCTCAATTTTTTTTCCAATCCTGGCAAAATAAATTCCTCTCCCAGATTTTTATGACTTAAATATTTTACATCTTTTTTCCTAATATGTGTTTCTTGTAGACAAATCACTTCTCAAGGTTTCATGCTTCATTTTGGAAGCAGGCGCTTTAAGCTGTGACTCCAACCATACCATGTCCTTGGACTTCAGATTGTTCTGGCAAGAGCATTGGCTTTTCCATAAATAGATCACTGGACAGAGTCTGTAAAAGGCAGCTTCTTTAAGTCTGGGAGCAATGACAGCGTGGTAGCCAAACTGGTAGTTTCCTGATGTTTTTGAATGCAACTCTTATAGCTGCTGAAGCATATTGAAACTGTATTCCTAATGATCTGAATAATGCCAGGTTATCTACTCTGGCAGAATTGTTTTATGAATCTGGGTTCAGTTTAAGAAGTGATTCCCTTGGCCACAGAATTAACAACTATAAACAGTGACACTTCCCACTTTCATGGGATGGTAACTTTTTTTTTAAAAAAATGAGATTTTTGTGCGCTTCTCTTGGCAAAACATCTTTTCTTTAGTGGTTTAATGCACTCTTTCTTTTTAAATCTAATTGGATTCTTTTAGTTGGATGCAGAGTAACCTTGGCGTGCCTTGAATGAAAAACTAGATCTTCATGTCATTAAAAAAAAACCAAAGTCCTCTTTGAGGGGCTTCACAGTTCAGCAGTAAATGAAGCATAAATATATGGCCTCAAATGCAGCAGCTAAGAAAGGGAGGAAGAGGAATGAAATTCAGCTAGTGATGATAAATATTTAATCTTGTTGTAAGTGTGCAAATTGAAAGCTTTTAGTTTTAAAAGCAAGCATGAACTTTGAGTTGCTGCCTTAATAATACCAGAGTATAAACAAGAAATGCATCCAAAAAGCTAATGATTACCACTGAAGTGTGCTACATTCTCTTGATGGTAGACTATGTTTATGTCCCCATTATTACTCTTGGACTTCAGTAAGCAGGTCTGCTTTAGCATTTGGTATTAAAATTAAAAAGAGGCCTTTTTAGCTCTTGAGCTTGACACAGACATTTAAGTGTATGTGAGCAATGCCTCCTGAAATTTCAGAAACCAAAATGGTATTAGAAAATGACATTTCAGTGAAATGCTTGGCTTCTTGCTGCTTCCCCTCCCTCTGACTAGAAGTAGTCCTCCCTTACCAACCGCTCATTCAGCGACCAAAGTTGTGATGGTGCTGAACAAGGAGTACTTACAACCAGTCCTCAAGTTCTGGCCATTGCAGCACTCCCATGGACACATGATTGCAGTTTGGGCACTTAGCAACCAGCTCATGCTTACAACAGTTGCAGCATCCCGCGGTCATGTGATCACCATTTGTGACCTTCCCTGCCAGCTTCCCACAAGTAAAGTCAGTGGGGAAGCTGGCAGGGAAGGTTGCAAGTTGCTGTGGTAAGTCCTTCCTCACCCTGTTGCCTTTTTGTGCACCGTGCCACATCCTCCTTCCCTTGGCCTCCCTGTGCTCGCAGTTAATTGTTCATAACTCGAGAACTACCTGTAGTAGAGTAAGGATGAATTAGGAGAGCTGTAAAAAGTGTAGCATAAAAATGTCAGTGAGCTGAAATTTGTTCAGGTTTCAGAAATCAGTTCTTGGTGCAGGATTTAAGTTACATAAAGGCAGTTGTGCTTCCCACAAAGTAAGAAGGTTATTTGGCAGCTATTCATTCTGGTCAGAAATATGGAGCAATTTCTCATATTCTTTAATTTTTATTTGCTTAGTGTAATGTGCACAACATATTGTTTTGATCTGGGGCCAGGTGAAAGTGCTGATGGCCTTCTATACCATAATGCAGCCATTTAAAGTGAGGTCCTGCTTTAGTCTGTTCTGTTAGTCTCTCTCCTGAAGAACTACTTGCAGAGCTTTCTATGCCTGATTAATCACAACTGTTTGCTAGATATGAATAAAGACAAATGATTATTTAAACCTGCTTACGTACCATGACTTTCTTCCCTCAATCTGTGGTAGAGTGCCAGTTGATGAAGACAGAGAGACCTAAACCAAACACATTCATCATCAGATGCCTCCAGTGGACCACAGTAATTGAAAGAACATTTCATGTGGAGACTCCAGAGGAGCGGTATGTTTCCTTCAGCCTTAAATACAAAAACAACTTGCAAAAGCAGATGTAAATGTTCAGCATTATTAGAGAGCTCCATCTTCTCAAATGCTTTTTTTTTTATTGGTTTGGTGCTGTGGGCTTTACAGTCTCATTTCCCATGAAATTCACTTTTATCAGATGGATGGGGGTAGAATAGGGAACTCTTGCAGAAGGAACCACTTGTGAGTTTGCGTCACTAATAAAAGTGCACGTTGCATGCATGCATACATAGCAGAGTCTTGTATCTCTACCTTTCCCAACTAAATAGCCTTCAGGTATGTTGGACTGAAATTCCTGTCATCTACTACCAACCAGGTGCCTTATATAATAACCATAAGAACACATTTTTCTCCGACTAGAGTTTAAAATATCTTAGGAAGAAAAATTGTGATTCCTAACAGCATTCCTATTCCTGTTTTTTAAAATTTCAAACATGACTTAAGCCCAGTTATTTTTTGGGAAAGTCAGCCTGGAAGTAAGCTTTGCATTTTTGCCTACCTTTTTTTTTAATCACACATCACAACGAAATCATTTTTATTTTTTTCTTAGGGAAGAATGGACAAAAGCCATCCAAACAGTAGCAGACAGCCTTAAGAAGCAAGAGGAAGAAATCATGGATTTTCGATCTGGGTCCCCCAGTGATAATTCAGGTGCTGAAGAAATGGAAATTTCTATGACAAAACCAAAACACAAAGTAGTAAGTATTATGTCTCAGTCTCACACACACACTCCACCCATATGAATTCCACATGGCTTTGGTGTCATCAGCTGCCTCTTTCAATGTGTTATCCTCCCGTTTCCAGAATTCTCAACCAGCATGTAGTCTCAGTGCATCTAGAGAGCACCAAGTTGGGAAGACCACCGTAGAGTATCTTTTGCAGCATTGTGTTCTCCAGATTATTTTGATTTCAACTTTCACTATCCCTAAACAATGGCTGTGTTAGTTGGGGCTTTGAAACTGCTGCAGGAAAGCCTGGGGTACCTTTGCAAGCTTTAAAGGAGTTTCTTGGTGAAAAGTTCACTGAAGGAGTTAAAATTTTCTGAGGGATAGTGCCAGGACCCTGTAGAGGTCAGAGACAAATTGTGTGGCTGGATACTTACTAATAAGATTTTAGGCAGGCAAGAAAGTATCCAGAAAGCTGGAGACTGGATTAGGTTTACCCATCCCTGCATTTTAGACTGTTAACAAAGGTAGGCATGCGTTAATTTAAATTAAGTTGTAATCTGTAGCTTATCCAGGGTACCAGATTTGTTGTAGTTACTGCAGCAAAATTAAGAAGGTGGTTGTTATGTACTTAAGTCAGCATCCTGTGAGAAGTCCTTAAAATCTTGGATTCTAATATAGAAGAGTAGTACTTAATCTTCTTATAATCATTGAGAAAAATTTAATTCATATCCTTAGATCAGTGTTTCTCAACCTCAGCAACATTAAGCCATGTGAACTTCAACTCTCAGAATTCCCCAGCCAGCAGAATTCTGGGAGTTGAAGTCCACACAGCTTAAAAGTTGCTGAGGTTGAGAAACACTGCCTTAGATAGTGAGATATGTTGAAACAGTTGTTCATTGAGAGGATAATTCTGGTATATAGCTGGTAAGGAATCTCTTTACATCTCCATATAAATGCATAGGGTGTCTGGGTTAATTCATCCTGTTAAGCCATAATTTATTCAGTTTACTTTTGGTTTTAGCATAATGTGTGAACTCAGCCACTTTTACCCTTCTTTTGAAAATCCTGGATTCATATAATAAGAAAATTGGCTGATCTGTCTAAGTTGTCAGTTATTTTCCTTCATTTATTTTTTAATAGGCCTGTAACATTTTAAACCTGTCTTTAACAGACTATGAATGAATTTGAGTATCTTAAGCTCCTGGGAAAAGGTACTTTTGGAAAGGTCATCCTGGTAAAAGAGAAAGCAACTGGACGCTATTATGCTATGAAAATTCTGAAGAAGGAAGTAATTGTTGCAAAGGTAAGGATGTCATGGTTTGCCACTTCTAGTTTCTAGAGCAGTAGAGATGCTGAATCTGTCAGGATTGCTTTTTTCCTCAAACTTGAGGCTTTAAATCTCAAGATAGGTTTCATCTCATTTATGAAGTTATTTGCAATTTTTGGTAAACTCTTACTGAAAAAAATTCTCAGAGAATTGAGATTAGTTTTTTTCCTAGTACGACATCAAGCCATAGATTAGTATTACCCGGACAAGCCTCAGCCTCTCATTCTCTTTCTCCCTCATGCATTCCCTCTTTCATAGCAATCCACAGTTTACCTTAATATCAGAGTTAGACAAGCTAAAGTTTGTGTAATTATAGTTGGCAATGAAAAGAATCAGGGAATGGCATTGGAATTTGGGAATCTGTTCTGTTCTCTGAAAACCTGTTGCAGAATAGAGTGTAACTGAAATCAGTCAGTTAATAAAACTTGAAACTCTCAACTTGTACTGTATGAGCTAAATTCACGCATAAAACTAAGCCAGTGTGGTTGCTTTGGTTCTGGCTCTCTGTGATATCTGAACCCAACCACAATGGTTTGTAACCCATACTTTATGGAGTAGTATTATAGGTGAGTTAGAAAACTAGTTTGTTCAACCCGAATTGATCTGTGGTTATCAAATCTGATGTGGAAACCCACCCATGGTGCCCTGATTGATTGATTGATTGATTGATAATTTGAATAAATCTGATTTATCATAGTCTTTTTTGAAGAGACTTCCTGGTGCTAGGGTTTGCCTGTAGCTGTTTCATTTTGGTTAGAATTGGCTGGCATAGCATGGGTTAAAAAAAAAAATGTCCTTAAAAGATAAATTAATTATATTATGGTGAGTGTGTGCCCTTCCAGATGTTGTTGAACTCCAGCTCCCATCAATCCTAGCCAGCCCAGTCAGTGACAAGGAATGGCAGAAGATGTAATGTATCTTGATTTCAGCAAAGAATTTGACAAAGCATAACATACTGATTAGCAAGCAAGTTAGGTGTGGGCTAGATGGTGTGACAATTAAGTAGATATATAACTATTTCAGAAATCATACTCAGAGTTCTCATTAGCTCTGCAGTTGAAGTATCAAAGTGAGCTGCTGCTAGTTCAGCCTAGATCCTGTACTCTACTGTGTTTTATTGATTACTTAGATGAAGACAGGCAAGGAATGCTTATCAAATTTATGGAACAGCTGATGCTTTAGAAGGCAGAAATAAAATTCAAAATGATCTTACAGAATTGGGTTCAAGCTAATAAAATAAAACTTGATAGAGGCAAATGCAGGTTTCCTCACTTAGAAAACAGAAACCAGATACAATAGAACAGAATGCAGGATACCTGATTTGGCAATATTACTTTTGAAATATTTGAAATTTGTAGTAATAGTTGAGTGCAAACTGAATATGAAAGAATCATGATACGCAGCTACAGAAAGGCAAATGAGGTTTTAAGGTACATCAACAGAACCATAGTTTCTAAATAAAGGGAAGTAATAGTCTCACTTTATTCTGTACTGGTCAGTTCCCACCCCTGGAGTATTCTCTCCAGATCTGGGCATCACACTTTAGGAATTCAGACAAACTGGAAAAAAAAGTTAAGGGAACGGCTATGAGGATGATCAGAGGACTAGGAACAGAGTCCAGGGAAGAGAGATTGAAAGGTCTGAAAATATTTAGTGTTTGGAAGAGAAGTCTGGGGACAGGAGCATACAATATCACTCTTCCCCTCCCTGACAGGTTGTTGCACAGATCATGGCCTATTCTTCATCACTCTAGAGTGCAGGTCATAGAATAATACATTTAAGTTACTGTAAGGCAAATTCCAGTTGAATACAGGTAGCTCCCAGTTTAAGAATGAGTTCCATCCCCAAGGTCTCTCCTTAAGTTGAATTTGTATGTAAGCCAGAACAGTATTATTGTGTAATTAACTCAAACCATTGTGTATTCAACTGGAATCATTGTATATTTAATTCAAATTTTTCTGCAGTAGGCTCTGTTCTTAACTATGGGCTGTCCATAAACCTGGTGCTCTTAACCCGGGGACTACCTGTATTAGAAAAATCCTTCTGACAAGAGCAATAATGCTTCAGCAGTAGTGCCCGAGAGTGGTGAGTCTACTTTCCTGAATGTATTCACATGCAGGATAGAGAGCCATCTGGCAGAGATGCTTGAATTTGGGTTTCTGAATTGAGCAGGAGATTGGACTCAGGGACCTAAGTGGCCCCTTCCAAATTGATGATTCCGTGAGATGCAGTCTGGAAGGACTCCACATTTCTCAGACCTGTATTATATAAAAAGTGGCTTTTAGACACTGTCCTTAATTTTCTAGGGCATTTAGAAAGGCTGTTTTATTTATTCCTCTGTCAAAAGTAGTATATGAAGTTTTTTTTAATAAGTAAAGCCAAATTATCACATATTCTTTACTATTTGGGTTGTCCTGCAGGATGAAGTGGCACATACTCTGACAGAAAACCGGGTTTTGCAGAATTCTAGGCATCCATTTTTGACAGTAAGCATTCTCTTTGTAATTTTTTCTTTCTTAAAATCCCTTATAAATGAATAGAGATGGTTACCTCTGTGTGTGTTCTCATTAATGAAAGCAGATTACAGAGGCATATGTTTTTCCAAACTGGATGAAATGTGTGATAAGCAACCTGATCCAGTTGATGTGGTACAACTTAGAGTCAATTTGTGAACAAACAGTTGCTTTTACTATGCCAACTTGTAAAAGAGAACAACTTTACCCAGCACCCAATTAAAATATAGCATTTCTCATCTGAAGAGGTACAGATAGGCAACTTGGTAGTTGATTTATTTATACATCACATTTATATAGCTGCCCATCTCACAAAGTGACTCTGGGCAGCGTACAACAATTCTAAAACTCGGGAAGGTGTTAGATAAAGCTATTAGTGCCTGTTCATCATGATGATGGAATATTATTTCTAGTATCAAAGCAGTTTGTTTTTAGCACAGCCTTGTAAATAAGCTTATAAAATGTATACCCTGCCAAAAGTTTAGTACATAACATAAGCAGTGCCTTGGTGGGTTGGACCCTTGACCCATCTAGTCCAGCAGTCTGTTTTCACAGTGGCAAACCACTGGTGGGCACAAGGAAGCCCACTGGTCTCCCAGCAGATGGCCTTCAGAAGCAGTCACCCTTCCATCGAGTCAAATAGCCATTGATCCCTATGACTTTCATGAATTAGTCCAACCCTTTTTTGAACCTTGGCAAGTCAGTAGTAGGCAGCACCATATCTTATACTCTTTTTACTCTTCCATACTTTCTGGCATGCAGTTCCTTACAAGCACATTTGTTTGTTAGCCTTCTGTGGGAAATACCAAAATGCTTATAGCCAACCCAAATATCATGTAAGCAGTTTTTCAGAGATACCAAAATTGTTCTAGTGTACTCATTTTTTGGAAGACACTATTGGGAGAGCATTCTGAAAATTCACAAACATGTTTTTTTTTTAATCAGTTTTGATTGAGCCCCAGTCTACTTTTTAAAATCATCTTCTTTCCATCCTTTTTTCATTTGGAAATTCCCTAATTCCTCACCAGGTCTCTTCATGTCTGACAGATAGTCTTGTAATTGTACTTGATCACCTGGCAGATAGTGTTGCAGCATTCATCCTAACTATAAGGAAAAGAAAGGTTACCTCTCTTGTCTTCCCAGCTGAAGCTTAGCCTTTACTGTAGAGTCCCCCATTCAAAAATGTTAGTGGTTTAACATACCTCATATATATAACTGGTGCCAAGCTCTGGCACCAGGCTCTGGATGTTGGAAGAGCTTACATCTAGTCCAAATCCACAGCTCTTAATTTATCATCCCTCCTTGTCAGAAGAGGGGCTGTCAGTGTAGGAGAAACGTTGCTTTCACTAAACTCATTCTGTGACTATTCTTTAGCCTAAATAGAGATTCATTGGAAAAGAAATACCTGTCTTAAGCCATTCACCCATCTGGTTTGATGTGGTCTATGCCAATCGAAAGCAGATCTTCAGGCATTCAGAAAGAAGACTTTCCCAGCCTTACTCAAGATGCTGTGGGTCATATTTGGGATCTTCTGTATTTTTAGAAATTCAACAACTGTTTGGTAGCCAGGGCTATGCATGTTAAGAATGCTCTGTTCTTTACTGAAAGCTTGGCTACCATTAGGTTTTGTCTGGAGCTGATCCTCATTGTATTCATTTAATTGTTGTTGTTTAGTCGTTAAGTCGTGTCCGACTCTTCGTGACCCCATGAACCATATTGCGCCAGGCCTTCCTGTCCTTCACTGCCTCCCTGAGTTTGCTCAGTT